TTACAAATGCAGAGCAGAGCAATGCAACCAGAAGCAAAATTTTATTTATGTGCATTTGTCATTTGATTTTAAGTAATCAATGGCAGGAGATTGATATATTGCTGCTTAGGCAGTGGTTGGATATATAAGAAAGGAAGTATTCCTTGGTAATTAAAGAATCATCTCTATGGATGACAAAAAAACATTTAGGTCTCACCTACATTTGGTCGATTGGATACACAATTTGAATGAGCACGATATGTGTTATTTCATACAATTGTTGCAGCACACCAAAAGTGAATAACACTTTTATTCCTTCTCAGCTGGGGAATCTGAAGGTTAGAGAGGTTGACCCTGAACCAAATCTCATGGCAAAATTTGATCCCAGGTTGCCTGACACCACAGCCTATTCTTACGTAAAATATTTGTACTAYACTGATGTCAATCAAAGTGATATCTAAAGGAGGCAAAACATTGCTTTTTTTCCATTATTTTACCAGTGATCCTATCCTGTAAATTTGTGCATTAAATAATATCGACAAGAAATATACAAATACCTAGTGTTTAATAATCTTGTATAGCAGTCTAATATTTATTCATGAGTTAAAGGAAATATAAATAGCTAAGTGTGATGCTTTTGGGGTATTACCAAGTAACTTTTGTGCATAAAAACATATCTCAGTTACTTTATTGTACCTACTTATTTCCTGATGTGCTTCATCAATATATTTCTCCAATATMAAGAAAAAATATTTTTTTCTTTTCAGAATGTAACTTATCTACTGAGGACTTTGGTATACTTTTCTGACTACTGAGCCCCAGGCCTGGCTGAAGCTTAATTTTTTACTTTAAAATGTTTACCTATATAGTGATGGTGTTATTACTGTTCCCTRGATTGTAGCTTTACATTGTTTATTCTTTGCATTTATTCTCATAGAAGTTATGAGATGAGTTTAATTTAGAAAAGTTACTTTTACTGTTTTTCTTCCAAGTGGTTTGTAGGCAGATACACTTATTAGATTAGTTCCAAGTCATTGTTCCTTTTTTTCTTAGCCATAGTGTGACATTGTGGCCATGGTATGAGATGTTTTTCTGTTACTTGTAGAAACTGTCTCATAACCATATTGATAGTAATGATAAAAAAAATCAAGTGTAACAGGCTAAATATAACTATATAAGGTTATCACGGTAATGCAAAAACAATCCTTAATTTCTTTAAATCCTAACATTTACAAAATAGAAAACAGAAATATCACATCTACTTTTTAACTAAGATAATTTCTTACATAAACCAAAAACTATTCACTTCCAAAATATTTTTAGAAGTTCAAAAGAAAGATTACTGAGACTTTCACAATATCAGATTGCAAAAAGCATTGTTATATTTACACTTACGAAGATCATTGTTTCCTACCAATTACATATAATTAATAATTCCCCAATTTATGTTTAATATCATCATATTTAATCTTTTGACAATTAGATTCTATTCATAAATTTACATGTATTTTTATAAGGAAAGAAAACAGAAAGAAAGGAGAAAGTAAGCAATGAAAAATGAAAATGTGTTTTAATCTCTTACCTACAAGAGGATTTTTCCTGTTGTGCATTGTCCTGAGGAGTTGACAGGGTGACCATGGCTTTTACAGTACCATCTAGAAGACAATCCCAAACTGGAACATGCCAGCAGCAATCTCAAACAGATGGTAACCTAGGGAAGTGGGTATGAGGTCAGAAAATAAAAAGCAAATATAATATTTGCTTCCTTCATAGATTTGTCTTGGCAAACATAGTTCCCTTGGCCATCAACATAGCTATCAACAACAATAGTGGATTTAACAGTATTACCAGAGGGTCATAATAACAATACCTAGTAGGGCTGGACCCTTAGTGCTCTTCACCATTCTTTCTTGAAAGTAGAAATATTAGGATAAGAAGTTCAGAAGAATGTGTAACTAGGGAAAAATAAAAATATCTTAGTGAGAACTATCCAGAAGTCTTCTTTTTATATGATCTCCTTGATGTTCCAGGTGTGTTATATGGTTATGTAACTAAACCTCCAGACAACCTGTGAGACAAATACTATTATCCACATTTTATGAGTGAACCAATGAATCTGAGTAAATTTTGGGGGGTGAAATAACTAAAAAGTAGCCATGCTAGAATTCATACCATATTTTTCTGAATTAACGTCCATAAAATTTCCTCTGCTTTACCCTAAAAAGACAGTTATCACATAAATAATTAAAGAGATGATGAATGGTGGGAAGGTAGGTGGGTGTTTGGATGGATGGACACTATATATATGAAGATTTTTTCGTACCAGGATTGAACCCAGGAGCACTTAATCCTCAGGCCTTTTTAAAATTTTATTTAGAGACAGGGTCTTGCTGAGTTGCTTAGAGCTTYGTTAAGTTGCTCAGGTTGGCTTTGAACTCTCCATCCTCCGGTCTCAGCCTCCGGGTGGCTGGGATTACAGGCGTTCATCACCAAAATCTATCTATCTATCTGTTTATTATTTTGTGTGTGGTGTTGCTGGGGATTAAACCCAGCTCCTTGTGCATCCAAGGTAAGCACTTAACCACTGAGCTACATTCCCAGCCCACATTTTCCATTTTTATTGGTCTGATTTTGTGTGACTAGCTTTTGTTTGGTATATTTATCCTTAATCTTTACTAAACTTATCCAAACCCTTAGTGAATTTGGTCCTTTCCCAAGAGTTGGCTATAAGGATGAAGTTCACTCAGGAGATGAGCTGATTAGGCCTCTGTTGAGAAAAAGCCATCTTTTGTTCTTTAGGGACAACTGCCTCTGCGGCACTGTTGACAGCCTTTGCTAAGAGAAATATTGCAAGTTGCCTGGACCAATTGAAATTCCCAGAACAATCTATGCTGTTTTCTTAAATTCACTGGGACATTTAGATTTAAAAATTATTATTTGAAGATGTCAATAAAGCCAGTATAAAGTTGGAGCCCACAGAGTCTGTTAGATTTTTTTTTTAAATGGCATTGTGCAAACTCTGTTAGTTTCTTTTAAAGAAAAAAAATTAATCAATTCTTCCAAGATTGGGTTAAATTATTTTCTCACATTTTGCTTTAATATGAAGTAAAGTAAAATTAACTAATTCATAAGCTCTTATTCAACTGTGAAACTCAAGAACATTTTTTAATTAGTATTCACAGATAAAAATAAAAAAATACAAATTTCCTACAACTTCCCATCTAAAATATTTTTTTTTTCTGAAACTAAATTTTTTTCTCACCATTGAGATGTGATACTGGCAGATAAAGTACATTCTGTTTAGGTTAGATGCTTCTATACTGACTGCAGTCAAGAAAGCAATTCAATTCTCCCTTCACTTGTCTCTATTTAGACTATCTTAAAAGCCCATTTATACAGTGCCCCAGGATGTTATTTGGTCTATGAATATGTTCTTTATGTATTATGCTCACCTTTGTTATTTTGTTATTATCTCTCAACATTTAAAATAATTCTCAGTGTCAAAACTGTATTCTAAATATAATATCAGATAAAAAGACTGAAATAATGTAGCATTGCTCAGTTCTAACTTGGTTATATAAACCAATAGATATTTGCACTATGTTTATTGGATTATCTTCCCAACCTAAAAAATAAGTAAGCAAGTATCCAGGACCCCAATTTAAGAAATACCATTCTAAATACATGAAATCCTTAAACAGGAATAGAGTAAGTAGAATAATTTGAGTGTTTTTATGTTACAGTTATTAACTTGTGCAAAGATCATGAATAAAACTTTTCATGTTGATTTTTCTTATTAAAAAAAATGTGTTAAGCATTCAGTCTGGGTAAAGCTCCATGAGAGAAGCTTTAGGAATCACAAATTCTCAACCTCTCCTTGAGAGGCTGAGGCAGGAGAATTGCAAGTTTGAGGTCAACCTCAGCAACTTAGTGAAACACCCCCTCAAAAAAAAAAAAAAAAAAAAAACTGGGGATATAGGGCATGGTAGCTCAATGGTAGAGTGCCCCTGGGTTCAATCAAAGAAAGAAAGGGAAGGAAGGAAGGAAGGAAGGAAGGAAGGAAGGAAGGAAGGAAGAAAGGGAGGGAGGGAGGGAGGGAGGGAGGGAGGAAACCTAAGGTTTCCTAAGTATCAGGAAGATACTGAGATGATGTAGACGACACAGGGTTCCTGTAGCTCTGTGTTTTCTGCTGAGCTTGCTCCATCTCTAACAATTCTCAAAACCCACAGTAATTCCTTTTGTAATATTATTAATTTAGAAATCTAAAACTGTTTTTTAAATGAATTTAATCTTCAGTTAGCCCTTTTTATATGTTCTTTCCCACTGAAAATGTCACTTCATCAGAGCCTGTCCTCTCTCGCAGTCTTCACAGAAACCTCGCCCAGCAGCCTGGCCTCAGGACAACACACAGCTCTTGCTCCTCCTCCACTGCCCACCTCACACAATAGCATAGCAGTCAGACTTCTTTACCATGTTTTGGTGACGGTTAATGCTATTAATTTGCTGGAAATAACTGCAAAAACTCTGTTCAAACACTAAAACTGAACAAAAAAATGGGAATAAAAGAGTAATAAAATATTTACCTTCTCAATTCTTGCTTCATCCAGTTTCCTCATCTGTAAAATGGGAGCAATAATAGCAAATAATTCATTAAAATGAGAAGAGCAAACACCTTTGCAGAATGTTTGGCACATAGTGAGTGCTATAATATATATATTTTTAAATATCACTTCAGTTACTGTTACTGCTAGGCACTGCAGATAAAAATGTTTACCTCCAGTGCATCTCTTAAGAAAAATGCATAGTGAAATGGCTAGTAAAAAATTCAGAGAGTTAAACATATAAAGGTAAATTTATATGTGTGTGTCTGTGTGTGTAATGCAAAAATCATATTATACTTTTTAGAAAAAAGACAGCAAAGATAAGATTTTTAATCCACTGTGCTGTTTGATTACTTTTCCTCTCTGCTACCTGTTTGGACTTCTCCTTATGATATTTCCTTTTGTTACTGCTTATTACAGAGGAGGTGTCTGCAAGAATAGTTCAAGTAGTCACTGCCGAGGCTGTAGCAGTCCTGAAAGGCGAGCAAGAGAAAGAAGCTCAGCACAAAGATCAGCCTGCACCTCTGCCTTTAGGTAAATGAGAAGAGCCACAAGCCAGGGGCTGGGTATTCCTGCCCTATCACAGCAAAATATCCTCGTTTTCCCAAGATAGGTTATTTCCTTTACATCATCCTTACCCGTGACTTCCATCCAGCCCCTCCATGGAGATGCACTGGGACCTATTTGCACCCTCCTCAACAGGTTAATTTTGGTATTTTGGTAATTTCTAGAGTGATAAGCTTGTAGTTTGATGTTCCCCTAAGTGGCCTACAATTTTTTATTTCCTAGACCATGAGAAGATTGCATAACACTCCACGCATAGGGAATACGTATAAAGACTTAAATTGGAGATGATTGTTTTCCTTTATGGGTTTCAGTGAGTAATCAATTATATTATAGTCTTGTTTTGGTCTCTCTGAACTGGCTACAAAAATCTTAAATCAAAGCGTCAATGGAATCAATACTGACTTTGCATCAGATAAGAAAAGTACTGACTGTCTGGCTTCTTTCAGGACACCAAGGTAGCACTGCCCTCTCCCTTGGCCACAAATCAAACGGCCTCCAGTGCCAGACAGGTAAAGCAGTGCTTCCTTGCTGAGAAAGACACTCAGCCAAAGCCTTCCTGCCCCCACTAAGATGAGAGACAGAGACAGGTATGTGTCCATGACAAGATGTAAGGAAGGACACTGTTAGGTTCAACACCCCTGTTTCACCAGTACCTATACCTGATCTATAAAAGGCCATGGTTTTTAAGGACTAAAATTAGCACATAACCATTTTCCTATATTATAATCTGATGTATCCTTAATATTTTATTTTTAATGCATGTTCTATCACCTATTGAAAAGTAAGCAATAAAAATAATTTGTTTTTACCAGAATAATAATTTAGAATATATTCAGTATTTTTAATACCGAGTATTTTTGTTATGAAGGACTGGTTTTCTCTTAAAACAGAGAGAAAAAAATATTTAAAACATTACTCCTCAATCTATTGTTCATTTCTATTCTTTGAAATGAAAGACAGCTCAGTTTGTTAAAAATCTGCAATCTTAAAATATGCCATGCAAACCCACAGGGTCAAGGGACTGAAAGTCAACTTTCATCCCAAAAGCTGCCTCTACCAACTGCTTTATGAAACTGCAATTCTATGATATTAAAATGGCTTTAGCTACTGGCCTTAAATGAGAAATATTTTCTTTTGAAATTTCTTACCTTTGTAGAAGTGTCATGAAGAAGGTAAGTGTCCTGAAAACCCAATCATAAGGTTGACTGTGAGTGAATGATATCCTACAGAACCTTTCTGTGCTTCACAAGCAGGGCCAAGGCCAGAAGGCCACACCCCCACCTGTGCATGGTTTCTCCCCACAGATATCCTGGCTGTGACAACTTCATTTTGTTTTCTGAGAAAGCATAGAAAAGATGGGTTTGGGCTTTAGACTCAGTGGGCAAAAGGCTATTTAATGATGTCAGCTTGCATGACCATGAATGATCAAGGTAACATTTGTTTCCAGATCAAGAAGCTGAACAAGAGAGCATTTGAATATGTTTTCAGTTAGACTAGCCTAATCCAAACTAAAAGGCCTGCCTGTTTGTGTTTTTATATGGCATATAGGGTCAAAATGAAATATATTATTAATTGAATAAGTAGACACAAAGGAAGGAGATTAATGATACAATTTTAGCATTAATTTTTTAAGTCATTTTTATGGAGAAAATGAAATGACTTTTTTGAAAAATATGAAATGTTTATCTTTTTAAGTTGTCAAAAATATATGAATCAAGTAATAGGCCGAAGAATAAGTCAAACAGATTACTATTGAGTCTTCCCTTGCATTTCCTAGAGAGGCCTTTTTACAGATGGAAGAACTACCTACACATCAACTGGCCTGATAAGATTAATTACTGTGTCTCATTTCTTCATTGTTTGGTCCATAGCAGCTGAAGAGACAGCTCATCTGCCCCCTTCTCCGCCCCCATCGCCAGCCTCAGAGCAGACAGTCACCGTGGAGGAAGGTAAGCTGTGACCTCACAGGGTCTGTCTTCTCAAAGAGGGTAAATACTGAACTTCACTGCATAGTACACAGGCTTCAGTGTTGGTTAACATATGACCCAGCTTTGGAGTTTGTCGAAAATAGTCAAAAAGGAACAAAATCCTAAAATATGCACATAATCCCTTATCTATATAAAATCAGAAGTCAAAGACTATGGTACATAAAAAAGTAAAAAACTCCTGGTGAAAGAAAAGAGAACTTTGTGTTTAATTTGCTAGAGTAAGTATAGAGAACCAGTCTACTTCATATAAAGTGTTTTAATGGAGAAGACAAAATCCCATCTTGTAAGGGATTGAACAAAAATTAAAATAAATATAATTGCCATTATAGGGGGAATCACATTTCCTATGGACATGTCAGGAACTGTCTCTTTTGCTCACCCAGACCTGTCAGGGCCTCTCCCAGGGCCTGACCCATAGCACACTTTCAATAAATATTAATGAATAAATGAAGAACTTCATGAATAGGTCCGACACTGAGAGCAGTGAACTAGAAGCTGAGACCACGGCTCCTTTCCTGCTGAGACCTGTTAGTCCATGAATATGTTTAGGCACATCAGCTTTTCAGTTGTCATTGATAAAACAGAGAGATGGCTTTAAAGAAGATCCATTCAGAATCTGAGATGAAAGTCACTTACCTAAATTATATTGAAACCACAATCAATCAAGCCTTAGCTTTCCTCTGCCTTCTGTAACTCTCAAAATGATATACAAGTTAATGGTTCTAAGTCAGAGAAACAATAATGGCTTGTTTTTAAGTTTTCATATACTAAAACCAGAGTTTTAAAACTCTTCCATTTTATTTATTTATTTATTTTTCTTTCTTTCTTTTTTCTTTTGTTGTCACATCAGAGACCAATTTGCTGTTTTAAAAACTGAATAACATTAGGCCGAGACAGGAGGATCTTGACTTCAAAGCCAGCTGCAGCAAAAGTGAAGTGTTAAGCAATTCAGTGAGACCCTGTTTCTAAATAAAATACAAAAAAATAGGGCTAGGGATGTGTCTCAGTGGTCAAGTGCTCCTGAATTCAGTTCCCAGTATCAAAAAACAAAAACAACAACAACAACGACAAAAACTGAATAACATTGATCACAGAAGACTTTTTATAATTTATAATCAGCTTCTTTAAAATATTCTTTGGATACTTAATATAAATATCTAAATTTCTGACCTACATATTGTTAACTCCAATATGATTTTTTTGTCACAGATTTATTAATCTAAACTTTTTATTTTTTTCTTTTTTGATACCAGGGATTGAACCCAGGAGTAGTTTACCACTGAGCTATATGCCTTTCTTATTTTTTTTATTTGGGACAGGGTCTCAGTAAATTGCTGAGGCTGTCCTCGCACTTGTGACATCCTGCCTCAATCTCCAGAGTCACTGGGATTACAGTGTTGCCATTGCAATTAGCAACCTAACCCTTTTATAGCAAGATTTTTCTTTCTTAAATTAAGGACTTTTATTTTTTTTCTAAATTTAATGCCCCAAATATTGTTAAACAAAATTATTCTAAGGGGATAAAAAAAGGAACATTTAGAGATAGTAATCATTGCATAACAGCCACTGATTATTAGTTAATTTCCTTAAAATGTGATTAACTTTTAAATTTATGGATTTGACAGATTCTTTTGGGCCTATGTTTATCCACTCATCTGGCACATATCTGTTGAGCATCTACAATATTTTTAGGAACTCTGCAAATTCTGGGTCTGTTTTAGTGAGCAAAACAGGCATGATCCCTGCTTTTAAGGAGCACATTGTCTAGTGGAGAACAGAAATCCAGTAAATAAGCTTACGAATAATTTACAATTGAATTAGCACCAGGAAAGAATAAAACCAGTGAGCTTTAAGATAGAACATCAAGGAAAACCTTATTTTATTGGGTGGTGTAGGGATGATTAAGAATCAGAGCCCAGAATCATGAGGATATGCTGGCCAAGCAAAGATGGATAAAAGGGGAATTTGGGGCACAGGAACCAGGATGCACAAGAGCACTCAGGAGGGCAAGAAGGTGCAGTGTTCTAGGAAGAGGTCCCGTGGCTAACAGGTAGTGAGAAAGGGGCAGAGGAGTGGAAGAAAGAGAGTAAGCAGAGGCCTGTGGGGTCAGGGGCCTGGACTTCAGTCCCAATGCAGTGGACAGCCTTACATGACAGTGTACTCTCTCAGGTCATTGAAAATGCTTCTGAGCCACTGAAAGCTATTCAAGTGCCAGACAATCCTCTTAACCCAGAAAGGGATATGATGTTGATAGAACTGGTGTACTCCAAAGTCTGCTTGAGATCAAAGTTATTGACTTTTTTTTCTCTCTCTGGGAATTAGAGTAGGAAAAAGAAGTAGGGTCCTGCCATCCATCTGGGAAGCCACCCAGCCTGCTTTCTGGAAGATAGCATCATGGACATAATATAAATACGAATAACTGAAATATAGAATCACTTTCATGTTTTGGTTATTTAGAAGTCAGCTTTCCAGAATAACACTTCCTTTACATTGCAGAACATCTTTCTCAGAGGGTTTCAATAATATCCAGGGACAGCGCCAACTTACTTCCCCTTGAAAGTTATTCAAAGATATTTTCAAACCTAACTTGTGTTTAAATTTTTTTTAAAGCATTAAGTTATATGATGGTTTAATGATTTGTTTTCAAATGGATAACCATTTTGAGTAATATGAAAAATTTTTTTACCAATTCTACTTTATTAATTTAAAAATTAAATAATATTCTCATCTTAAATTTGTGAAAGATATAGTCTAGATGATCAAAATACTGCCTCTTTTATTTTAAATAACACATTACATACAGTAAATATTAGGGGTTTTTTTGTTTATTTGTTTAGTTTTGTCAACAAATAAGTTAGTGACAAGACACAAAAAGACAGGATTGAACCATTTGATTTTTCAAYCCAGTCAGTTTATAATGATGCAGCACTGTTTCCATTAGTGTCCTGCTAATGGCAGGAATGTTGGAAAGGGAGTGAGTGGGCTTCTTCACTCTGTCCAGGGGATTATTTTCCCTCTTTGATGTACCCTCAAAGCAATTTTAAGGTTGCAATGAGTGTCACAGTCCAACCCTTTTACACAAGCGGAAGAGAGCTCTTGGGCTAAATTAATTCAGTGATACTGAGGATACACTAACTTTTTATTAATTATCAAACATTTTTAAAACTGTTCTTTCCCAAAGGGGAAACATGAAAGCCTCCACTGAAAATAATTTAAGATGTTAATTACCATCATTTATAAATACTCATTTATTATAATTAATGTAGTTTTAATAATTCCCAGACTATATCTTATTCTGCAAATCATTTTAATGGGATTTTGAAGAAAAAAATTCAACAAGTAGCACACTTAGAAAGGAAACCATGGTACAGTTATCCAATACTAGTTATAATGTTTTCAAATTAATCTCCTTTTTATTTTTGGCCTAAACCTAACACTTGTCATTTGGACTGAACTGTCAGAACTTGCAAGTACAGTGGGATCCTTTAAAAATAAACTGGGGATCCTTCTGCCCTCTTAGGTTTGCTCCAGGGTTGTAGGGCAGTGTTTTCCTGTTGTCACAGATGTGGTGACATCATAATTGGTAATCTGAAAGCAGTTTCCCTCCATATCATGCTAAGGCAGCAGAAACAGTCAGCAAGGTGAGGAGCCCCCATTCAAAAGCCGACAGGATGGAAAGAGCTTAGGGATGGTAGAGAACCATGTGAGTGGAGCCAGCTGTCTCTAGCGGTGCACTGGGGGGCAGAAGCAGTGATGCACAACAAGCAAAGATCAAACTCACTGATGCCCTGCGAGCTGTAGTCCTTACAAAAGTAACTTCTCATTTGTATCAAAGGGAGCTAACAAACCAAGGCTTGTTTTAGGGTGTCAACCCTTACTTTAACCCCAAATAAATTTCCAGATGCTTTAAAAAAAATTGAACAAAAGCAAACTAGGGGAAGTTTATTCCTCCATTGAAAGTAGGTAAACTTCATTTTTGAAGGTTATAATTATCTAAAAGGACTACATAAAAGAGAAGGGCACACCAAGTCACCCTGTTCTTTTATATGTCACATTATTAAATAAAACAATATTTTGTTGCAAAAAACAGATGACCCAAAGCATGTCTACTTATAGAAAAAGGATGAATGTATTCAATTGTTACCTTAAAGAGCAAAACTGTTATGAAGCGAGTTTAATTTTTCACAAATTTTTCAACTTAAACTTTGATGTATCAAATAAAGGGAAGGAGCAAAATTACTTGGAAACATGACTGAGTACATTGAAGACATGGATGCTTACATGTATGGAGTGAAATACTGTGCTTGGCATTTCCACAAATATCTTCACATTTAATCCTCCCAGAGACCCACAGAGACATTCTATTCATTTCCACTTTTTACCAAGAATGTAGTGGCATATCTCTGGATAAAAGGCTTATCCATAATTCAGGTCTAAATCTTAATTCTGCAACCCACATTTTCACTATATCACTAAAGCTGGCTCTTGTCAAGTTTCCTGTTCTGAGACTATGGAAGTAAATTCTCTTCAAATGGGAGTTCTTTGTTACAAACCACTCCCAAATATTCCATTTATTTATAATTATTATGTACTTTACCCACATTGGGTGTGATCCTAAAGTACCTGCAATGCTCAGCTCTGTAACAAATGAGAATCTAATATCTTCTTCATTCTCATTGGAACCACGTGAGAGGTTGGGATTTAGCTACCCCTCTAGGCATAGCTTTCCTGGCTTACCTCTGGAGCTTGTATTATAGATGAACTCACTCACAGGTCCTAAAGACAGTCAAAGTACATAGAGCACATAGTTCCACGAGAGTACTGGACTTTGCCAGATTCTCCTTTTGAAGTTGTCTTGGCTAAAGGCCATACAAATAGGACAGATAAGACTTTTTCCACTGGAACCCTTAAAGTTTCTGTTGTTCTGGTTAGAGTAAAGGTCTTCAGAATAGAAAATACTG